CGGGCCGGGGGAGCCCCGGCTGGGGGCCGGGTGGGTGGAAGTGGGGCGAGAGGCCCGCTGCAAAGCTGGCCTCTGCAAAGCCTTCGTCCTCCAGCGGGCTGGCATCCCCCCGGCAGGGCTCTCCCTGAAGGTTGTGACGGTTGTTGCCGTCACAGTATGGTTTTCCCAAAATGGGGAAATCCCCCCTCCAAACTGGGATTTTCTACCCGTGGTTGGCTTTGTCCTGTCCCACTCTGCTCAGGGGAAGGCTCACGGTGCTGCTACAGCCACCCCTCCTGTGCAGTCTTGGCAAAGAAGCCTGAGCTGACCCAGGGCCCCACAGGGTGGTGGGAACCATCCCTTCTTGCAAGGCCAGTACTAACCATCAGTGGTTTACCCAGGACGTAGTGTCATTCCTGCAGTCATTGGATTCGTTGCAGATGGAGGGGATGGAAACTCACAGGCCAGTGAGTTTGGTTATGGGGTGGTGATTTTTGGATTTATCTTTTGTGGTCTCAACACCATCCAGCCTGGACTGCCAAGCAGACAGGATCCAGGCAATATGCAGCTGCTCCTATTTATCTTCAGCTGGAAAGGGCTGTTAGTGGTGACAGGGCACCTCAGGCAAGGCAACAAACCAGCCGTGATGCTACAAGAGCTTCCGTGGAGGAGGTGGGGACAATGATGAGGTTTTTCGAGGTGTGGGTGAAGCTTCCAGGGAAGACCACCCAGGGAAAGATCCCCTTCAGAGCTGACACTCCCCTTGGGGAAAGGGGGTAACAACATAAGAGATTTTATTCCTGCTCTTATCTTTGCTGCTGTTTTTTTCTGCTTTCCATTTCAGTGGTTATTTCCTTCTCCACCTGCTCCCCACTTCCACCCACACCCCCAGCACACACTACAGGCACAACTTTGGCAGACGTGTTAAAACCAAATCAGGGAAACAGAAAACTTTCCAGCGAGGCATTAATCCAGCGGGTGATCTCCTCAGCTCCCTGCTTGCAGAAATACATGCACACTTGGGAGTCCTGTTCAGCAACTGGTGTGATCAGTCATAGAGAGCAGCCAGAAGCTGTAAAATCTTTACACTGCAATTTACTGCAACTTCCCATCCTCTCTGCACTGCCACAGATGCCTCTGCAGACCGTGCGAGGGATGGGAAACTTTGCTCTTCTTGATATCTGTGCTTGGACCCTAAAAATAATTAATTCCTTTGTAGATTTTTTACTTTTTCACTGACTGAACTGTGCCCCTCCCAGCCCAAAGGTGGTTTCATGTTTAACAGCCGTTTGAGTGTTTAATGGTCCTTTTTGTAGACGGCTATGCCTATTGTGTTCAGCTGAGCTGGCCCTGGCAAAAGTGTCTGCAGGTAGCAGCTTTTCATTCAGCAGATGAGAGTGGGCTCTTGTTGGTTTGGGGTTTTTTGAGGAGGGTCTAAACAGCTCCTGGTATGATGTGGCACGTGACTGTGGGTGGCTTATCATCAGGGTTTTACAAACCTGTGTTAATTAAGCTGCCTTGCCACAGTGAGATTGGCAAGTTAATGCTTGCCAATCTTTAAATTCCTCTGAAGAGCTGGGCACACCTATGGGCCCCACAGATAAGTTTCTTATCCATAGGATAGGTAGAGGAATGGGGAAAACCTCTTGCAGGGGTAGACGCTCGTGCCGTGACTTGCCGTATCTGGGAACACTCCTGGGTGATCTTGACAGATCAACAGCTATGGCAGGAGTTTGGAGAAGACTGACATAACAACAGGAGTTGCCCACTGTGTGTTCTGGTGGCTTGCAAGTGCCACCTGCAAGGCAGCTCATCTGCTTTTGGTACAGGACTGCAGTTTTCCTGGGTTTAGTCCACAGTCTTGGCAAAGAAGCCTGAGCTGACCCAGGGCCCCAAAGGCTGCAGTCATTGGGCTCATCATTGCAGGTGGAGGGGATGGAAAGCAAACAAATTCACACTGCTGCTGTCTATTTTTTGATAAATTCCCTATGTGGCTATTCTTCAAGTGAATATTATCTGACATTCC